AAGGAATAGGCACGATGTATAATTGTACTATGAATCGACTTTTCCTCGATCTGCATGATCAGACCCACTTTCAAATTGCTTGTATCAATTTGGTTTAGTGCTTGTATCCGCGTTGCTGAACTGAGCCGGTTTGCTTAATTTCAAATCACAACTTGGGCTGAGTTTAAAGTTTGTTTGCGCGCCTGCTGGCGACATTTTCATGAGCTGCTGATACCGATTATTTTTTAGAATAAAATAACTAAATCCTGAGCTAGGGTGTTTACAAATCAAAAGGGGCGCTTCAAGAAAATGTAGGAATTAAAGCATCTTTTTTCTGCGCTACTATAACTGTTTCATGATGATAAAAAGTAGAAATATACAATCGTCCTCTTACAGAAAATTAATTATTTGCGGATGCAGTTATAATTAAAAGCTGTATGTTTGCCCCTTGTACATTTTTCCTCAGTCTTGAACAGTTTATGCACTGCAATTTGTAATACTCAGGATGTTTCGAAACAAAGACTTATGGAGCGTCACTATCAACGGTTCCATTGCTATCGAGAGTCCTCAAATGGTTAAGAAGATCAGTTATGGTGTCCGCTTGTTGACTTCTGAAAGAATACACGGAACGGTTTGTCGTCACAACCAAAACAGGATCCAGATACATTCCTTTCCTACAAAAGGGTAAATGAATTTACTTTAAGTAAAACTCTTGAAAACAACAAAAGCAGCATTAAAATTTTACTTGCAAAAGCAGTAAGTAGAACAACTTATCCTACTGATCTAGCCTGGCGGGGTCAGTTCCTAAATTTCTCTGAGTGATTATTTCCCGACAGTATTAGAGTGTCTATTAGCTGCTAAGAGAAATCAGTAGAAGCATAGAACGATATGTAACTGTTGCACCAGCCATCGAGCAGGAAAGGGGCTGTAATTACCCTACCGGACCTAAAATAGCTTTAACCATCAGATTCATGTGAACGTTTACACCATAAATGTTGCACTCTTAGTTTGCTTTGTTGCGAATATATAGGAAGACTAAAAAAAAGTTCAGAATTATCACTCAAATAAAACATACCTCACACTCTCAACTTTGTTTATCTGAGAAAAGTCGAGGCCAAGAACAGGTGGAGCTTTAATATCCTCCTTCGGTAGAACAAGAAGTCCACTTGAATTGATAGCAAGATTAACAGCGATTTTAGGAAGCTTTGGCCCCGATGACACAAAACCATCAAACATTCTTGAGAATTCATTAAACCAGTTGGCTGCTGCGTACATCACAATGTCGTGTTTGACGAATTCTCCATCAGCTCTTTCGTTCACGCGTGGACTCTATAGAAAAGGAAGAATATATATTTGAGAAGATTAATGTTCCGTGTTACTGGGGATCACAGTGTTGCACGAGCTTTAGAAACTGAGCCACAAAAGTAATTAAGCACAGGTTCCTAAGTTGTCTACATGTCTATTCTGCACTTAAAAGGGCACAAGACAAATGTTACAGTCGACTCCTGATAACTCGAACCTTCTAGGGAAATCGAAAAAAGTTCGAGTTATCGGGAGTTCAAAGAAAATAGCCGAGAGTACCGAGAGAGTAAGATAAAAAACAGTTTTTACTGTACAGTGAACATTTTAATCACATTTAATTGTAGAAATGTCAAGTGCAAATTAAAAGATACTTCTAGATTATAAATCAGAACGTAACGTAACAAAACATTATGGAGGGGAACTCTGGACAAAAATGGAATTGAATAAATTTATATCAAACCGCGAGATGCATTATATCGTACCATGTGGTGACATACCCAACAAAACAACAAACATCTCGGTGGACAGATATACCATACCCGATACATCGTGTTATTGTATCGGACATGCCCCTACATCGTACCGTATGCTGCTATATCGTGCCTGGTGCTGCCAAATTGTCATCAATGTGCGGCGATCATGGAGTGCAAGTCATCCCATAAAATTGTTCCCTATAATGCTGCTACATCGCCTTCGGTGTGCTACATTGTGAGCGGTGTGCCAAGATATGCTAATAACCATGCCACTACATCGGGCATGCACTACATCGTCCCCTATGCTGCTATATCGTATGCAGTGAAGCCTTAAAGGTTGAACTGGTCAGCGGCTTAGTTTAAAAAGGCGCGAAACTGCACTCTGTCGTATCACACGGCTTACTGTAGTTTGCGAAACGAAATGGAGCGAAACGAAACGAAACGAAATGAAAATCTGTAGTTTGCGAAATGAGAATCTGTAGTTTGCGAAATGAAAATCCTCTGGAGAATGCCGACTTCAAATTCAGCGTGAACAACGAATTGAAGGAGAAGACGTCAACAAGAAACCGCGGAGCAGAAGGAACATCGCTTAGCACAGCGAAGGCAACGCCGACAACAAGAGACAGAGGAATAGGAGATTGGAATCAGGGGCATTATGATCGTTTTACACTGTCGAAACCCAGATTTGTTAGTTTGCCGGTTTCCCCGCTGCTATATAGATCAAAGTCTGCAAAGTTCCAGCTCTGTATTACGGCCCGAAAAATAATAATTTTCGGGTGAACTGCACCGGGCCATATTTGTTCTTTGCTTTTTTCTTTTTCTAAATCCGGACGTAGAAATAATGCTAAATCTGCTTTTTAATACACTGTTAACAATAACACCACATAATACGCAAAAAGAAGAAGAAGAAAAGAAAGAACAACGTATGGACCTTTAAGACGATCTTCGCGGTGGGTCACCCATCCAGTTCGTAACCCCGACCGGGCTTAACTTGAGCGCCTGAGCATAAGTTAAATTTTTCTGGGCGAAATAGCTTTTTTGGGGGAATTTTCTGTCTAGAATATCCGAGTAGACGCAAAGAGAAAGTAAATTGTCATTTCGTAAACTACAGACTGTCATTTCGCAAACTACAGATTTTCATTTCGCGAACTAAAGATTCTGTAGTTTGCGAAATGAAAATCTGTAGTTGTAGGAAAAATGGCGGACTACTCGTAGTCTATTCTTGTTGCGTCTACTCGGATATTCTAGACAGAAAATTCCCCTCAAAAAGCTGTTTCGCCCAGAAAAATTTAACTTAAGCTCACGCGCTCAAGTTAAGCCCTGTCGGTCGGGGTTACGAACTGGATGGGTGACCCACCACGAATATCGCCTTACGTTGTTCTTTCTTTTCTTTCTTTTCGCTTTTCCCTCTCCCCGGTTCCCCGCTCTACCAAAGGCCTGTTCACAGGCTAGACAGAGTGTTGACAGAGTGCAGTTTCGCGCCTTTTTAAACTAAGCCGCTGACCAGTTAAACCTTTAATCTTCACTGCATACGATTAGGCTCTTGCCGAGTGTGCTAGCATAATTTTTGGCATAATCTGAGGAATTGAGCATAATTTTTGCCCTTTTTCCAAAAGTAGCACTGCTAGCATAATCCGTATATTTTCTTGTCTTAATAGCACAATTTTAGAATAATTCAAGAAAACGAAGATCTCAGCTACTAAAAACGATAGATTACTATTAACAGTTGCTTCCACTCCTATTTTTCGATTTTTTTTTACTTGTGTTGAGATACCGCGGGAGTTCGATGAAACGGAACCGGAAGTCTGTGTCTCGGTCCCAGACTCCTTAGTCTTTCTCCCAGTGCTCGTTTCAAAATGGCGGCCGCCACGCCAAACCAGTCAAGTGCAGTGAACTTACATCCAGATAGTTTACAAGGTTGCGAGAACAGAGAGGATAGACCAAAGCCTGCACAACTTGCCCGGGATAGACGTAGTTATCCACCACACTATCCAGGCTTTGCGCAACCTACTTTTGTTCGCTGGATAACTATCCGCTGGATAGCAGATTTATTCGCCGTATAGGCCCAACCACCGGATAAAGTTACCCAGGTTTTGAACAACCGGGCCCAGAACGTCTGGCCAGGGTTAATAAAATACATTTTCAAACTTGTCTTGTGAGTTGTGAAGTTTGTGCACAGAATAATTTTTTAAAAAAGTAGCATAATTTTGAAAAGCGAGCATAATTTGAGCATAATTTGGGCAAAAAACGAGCACTGCCACTAGCATAATATGCCACTTTTACTAGCACAATCGGCAAATGCCTACATACGATATAGCAGCATAGGGGACGATGTAGTGCATGCCCGATGTAGTGGCATGGTTATTAGCATATCTTGGCACACCGCTCACAATGTAGCACACCGAAGGCGATATAGCAACATAGGGAACAATTTTATGGGATGACTTGCACTCTATCGCCGCACATGGATGACAATTTGGCAGCACCAGGCACGATATAGCAGCATACGGTACGATGTAGGGGCATGTCCGATACAATAACACGATGTATCGGGTATGGTATATCTGTCCACCGAGACGTTTGTTGTTTTGCTGGGTATGTCACCACATGGTACGATATAATGCATCTCGCGGTTTGATATAAATTTATTCAATTCCATTTTTGTCCAGTAGTCCCCTCCATAAAACATAGCCTAAATAGAGCATGCGTTTTACTGTTTTGAGAAGTAAAGTTGCTTCACGTTAACTTGTGACAATCAATATCTGCCTCCACTAGTAAACTATACTCCTACAACACGTCAATAGGAAATCCAAAAATGTTTCGGACGCCAGTAGACGGCTTTTTTCCCGACCTTTTAAGGGCTCAAAACTTTGTTCGAGTTATCGAGGGTAAAATTATTTTAAAAAGAAAATGACAGAAGGGGAAACTAAAATTGGTTCGGGTTAGCGGGAGTTCGAGTTATCGAGGGTTCGAGTTACGGAGGGTAAAATTACAGTAACTGTATGACGGAAATCCAGAGGAAATCGATTTTGGTTCGAGTTAGCGCCAGGTTCGAGTTAGCGGGGGTTCGAGTTATCGGGAGTCGACTGTACTTAAGATATAACCCAGTCCAAAAGTCACAGCATTCGAATGCGGATGAATGCCTTGATTTCTAACGTCGGCGCTAGTGTTCATGTAAAATTAAAGAAAATTATGGCTGCTATCGAACACTTTCATTATACGTTAGAGAACGCATTATATTGAAACGTTATCACCAAAACAAAAAGGAATTTTCGGTATTTCATTCATTGCCTTTTTCTTAAGAGTGACGCTGGCTCTTACGCTCGGGTTGGTTGTATTATTATTATGTCGCAGTATAAGACTTTGGAATGCTGTCCACATTATGAGTAGTGTAGGGCGCATAACGTAACCTACACCACTTGAGAAGCTATACTTAGAAGTAAAAAAAGGTCGGTACGAAACCTAATACGATCCTAATATACATAATGATATGATTCTCTGTACTTAAAAAGCCAGTTTAGAATATTATTAAATTCTTATACTCTGTAAAACCTACGCAAATACATGATAATATAATCATCTCTACTAGAAGCCTATTTAGAAAATTATTCAGTTTTTATACTCTCATTATCTCTTATATACCTAAACGAGGCCATCATAATGTGGTTATCTCTACTAAAAGCATAATTAGAATAATATCAAACTCTAATACTCTAAAAAAATCTAGGTAAAAACATCAGCGAACTTTTGTTACTAGATTTCTAGAGGAAAAAAAACCCTAAAAACTGGAGTCCTTAGTGCCCTAACTAAGTATTTATCTTAAATGTTCTGGCTATGTTTAAAGTGTTTGAGATGACCGACTTCTGCATCCGCTCAAGTACGCTCCCTGCTCTCGCTCCAAGTAGCTTCCTCACCGACTTCTCTAGGTGTTTAGAGTAACCACCCAGTACGTCAATTATTACGTTGTACTGTTCAACCCTGTAACCATTGTATCTCTGCTTTAGCTCCCACATCATGGACCCATACTTGAGTGTCTTTTCCTCATCTTATTATTAAATTATCATTATTATTTATTTATTTATTCACAGAATTTTCCTAGAGAGGAACGCGGCGGTCATCCATGACCGTACCAAATACAACATAGGCAGCGATCTTTTTGACAAAAAAATAAGTCTTCTCAGCCATTGCCTGGAATTCCGAACAAAATATACACCCGTTAACTGCCTCTAAGCTGAGGAGGTAGGATGAATCAGACGATTACCCGCAAAAAACTTTCTTTAATTTTTGAAGTATCCAAGGTTTATATTTGTCGAATTGTTCAGTTGGCTCTTGGTACAATCTACAGAGGTGAATTCAGTTTCAGTTATTCCTTTGTTTCGACAAGCGAAAAATATGTGATTTATTTATCGTGATTCATTTACTATTTTTATTTGCTTGTTTGGTAAATAAACGAGTACAATGTCAAAGAAAGCTTTAAAGAGGGTCTCAATGGGGTTAACCGATAGGCGTAAAACGGCCAAAAATTTAGCCGATAGCCGTAAAAATTTAAAAAATTTAACCGTTAGCCGTAAATAGCGTAAAAAAGAGTTCACCGTAAAAGAAAGTGTTCCCTAGATTTGCTACTTTTAAGGAAGGTACTAACTCACTTATGGTTGCGTTTTTATTTCTCGGCTAGTGTGACTCCGTACGCACGTTAGGCGAAGCGCCTTTTAGATGTTAACCAAGACCTAGGCTCCATTTCCGGCGCTTTCTTGGGGAACTAATTTTTTCCATAGCGAAAGTGTGGCTTCTTGCTGGGGATTAATATTCAGAATATTTGCAATTTTCAGGAGGCCGTGCCCTCAAAACAGTAGTGAAACAACACGCAGAGATGTCACTGTTTGTAAAACATGTTGCCGATAAACAACATTTCCTTGTTTTTCTCGGACGCTACGGTAGACATCGCCATGCCTAGTCCCTGTTCGGCGTCTTCCCACGCAATCTCGGTCAAGGCATTTCAGTGGCGAACTCGCTCGGACCACATGACCCGAAAGCCATCAGCCGCGCGGAATAATGCGGCCTAGGACAAGGCAACGGCAAGACAGTCGTTCCGTACAGTCCGTCGCTATCATTAGAGACACTGGACACGGGAATTTTGTTATTGGCCGTTTTCACACTAGACCTAGAAATGGATCATCCGTCTGAGACTAGCCTGTGTACAGTCGCGCCCTCCCCACAGACACCCCTTCTCCGATTTTTTTCTGAGGGGAGGGGGCGGCTGTACACAGGCTATCTGGAACGGATAATCCTGTCTTCAAAAGTCAGGCGGATTGTTTATTCAAAATTAAAACTATTCCATTGCCAAATTAAGACGTATCATCTATCTGACGCGAATCATCAAACGAATAACCAGTCTCACACGAACAATCCTTCTCTAGTGTGAAAACGGCCATTTCTGTTATAATGAATGTCGCGCCCCGGCCTTGAGTTGGGCGTTCGCGTGTCTGCTTTTGCTTTTTCACAAAGATTATTTTTAAATTGACTATTGACATTTCTATGTGTAAAATAATATCAGAAGTGCAATACTTTATAAAAAGTATGATCTATTAAATGTTAAAATTTTTCAAAAGAATAGCTTATTTCATCCCGAAATGATCCGAAGACCTTTATTGTGATTTAAAGATACAAAAAATAGAGGTTAATTAATATTTAACTATTTGAAACAAAAGAAGTTAATTTTTAACTTTTTCGTTAACCGTAACTGAAAAAAATTAACCGATAGCCGTAGAAGAGCCAAAATTTTAGCCGATAACCGTAAAAGCCACCACCCCATTGAGACCCTCTTTAAATGGATAAGAAGAAAAAACATAAAATTTTACATTTCAATCACGTGCCTGAAACAGTTTAAAAAGTCGATTACTCACTGAAAAGACAGTGATCATTTGCTTGGACAAATTTATTAGTAGTATCATTAATAATACTACTAATAATTATTTTTTAAAAATCCAATTCAACTTAAAAAGGTTGGGTTTTGTTTAACGTTCCTAGAGATGCAAGGTGTTATACTAATGAATTAAAACGTAATTAAAGAACGACTGGCCGCACCTCTATATCTTATATAGATATTGCAAGTGTCTTTTTGAGAGCTTACCTTATAAAATGATTCTATGACTTTGTTAAAAAGCTCATCCCCTTTCTTGCTATCAAGGACAAACTGTGGCACAGATTCTTTAATCAATTTTCGTAGGACGTCTTCTTCCATCTCGGGACCATTTTCGATGTAGTATCGTTTAGCTATTATGTCAAACAGATCTTCTTCCTACCAAAAAAGAAAGAAAAGAAAAAGAAAAGTGAAAAATGAGGTTCAAAAAGTTAATGTCATACCCAGCATGTGATTTTTCATAATAATGATGATGATAACAACAACAATAATGATATTCAGTGAATTATTTTTTGTTTGTCTCATCCAGTTTACCTGGCTGCATACATATTCTCCAGTTAGTATCCCACCGATAATCTGGTGGTAAATCAAATTTGTGGCCACCTTATCGTTGTTTGGTTTAATCACAGGCTCAAACAGATCTTTACGCAGATAAAAGCCCCAAACGTCGGGATCATCTCTATCTTTTGTCCTTGCGTACTGCTCGGCTAAAGACGCGGCATCGAGTACACTTTCAGAACCACAGCCCCAGTTAGCCACCTGCAACACAGCAACATCCCTTAAAGAAGATATCCATTTGAGGAAAATTTTGAAGACATTAATTAGCGAAATGCCTACTTCATTTAAAACTGTCTCTTATTTTTCATCGTAGTATGTGAGATGAATGATAGGCTTGTTTATCGTTTTCTTCACAGAAACAAACAATCCATACCGTTTCGTCAAAAAACCGTAATGATTGCGTGACTATGAGCATTGATTTAGTTAAAGTTTTAAAGGGCTTATGTTTAAGAACGTTGATTGACATTGATTCTATACATTGATTTAAAAGCATTAGGTTACTGTATTTCAAACCAGTTTTTTCAGTAATCGAAGTGAGAACGAAGTTTGTAGTCTGTTTATAAATCCGCTTACCTGAAGAATGTTTAAAGAATCCGCTAACCTGTAAAGTGAGACTGTTATAACGACCCGCCAACAGAAGTAAGTTTACATTGAAGTTTTCGGAATTTAGCTACAAGATTAAGACTCGATTTGTGTTTGTTCTGACTGCGAATTATATAGAGGATATTACACGGTGGCGCGAAGATATGAATTTTATTTTCTCGTGGCAAAAACAATATTTTACTCATTCGCTGCGCTCGTTCGTAAAATATTGTTTTGCCACTCGAAAATAAAATTCATATCTTCAAGCCGCCGTGTAATGTTCTTTTTATTATATAGACAAAAGGACATCCATACAATAATAGAGGGAAATTACCGAAATTACGTCATCGATAAACTCACTGTGAGATTATGGAAAATAAACTAGTCGGGTAGTTTTTATGAATGTTACGAGTGGTATATTTTCCAGTAAAACACTCGTGTCTATATAATAAAAGATAATTAATGTATTTCTTTAGATCGAATAATTATTGAAGTTTGGCTTGATATTATGCGGTTTGTGGTGGTCATTTGAGCTGACCAGTTCCAAGGGAAACACATCAGACACACACTAATATTCCCGCTCGATAATTGACACCTTTGTCTGATGAGGACCAGTAGCGACAAGTCAAAAAATCACGACGGGTAAAAAAATAGTGAACACGTGGTACAAACAATAAACTAGCCTTTCATGCCTCTTTTTTTGAAAAAATTATAAATTCAAAATTTAATCTAGAGTCCTGAAGAAAAAAAAACTTTTAGTGTCAATGTATTTGCAGATGTATTATTACCGGGGCCCAGCCGAAGGCTGGCACCGGTCTTAAAATGCAGACCGTCCGTTTTTTCAACGTTACATTGTTAGGGATATATCGCTGATTGAGATATATCGCTGGCTCATTGAAATCTTATCCGCCATTTTGAAAAGAAGAGGCATGGAGGACAGTCAAGAGAAAGATTATAGCTTTTTTGGGGAACGACACGTTCCCCCAACCCAGCTAGTTTATGAGCGAAAATTTAAGAGTGAATATTTGGAGAGACAAATTTACGAGCGATCACTTCTGAGACTGAACCTTCCATCGTGAAACTTATCGAGAAATTGAGTGAACCTTCCATCGTGAAATTTATCGAGAATCAAAGCGAACACTTATCAAAATTTGTCTTCAAAAAGATTTCAATGATTGACATACCGAAGACTTCAAAGCTCCATCGCTATGTTAATAAGGTGAGAAAACTTTATCATGCACGATATAAATGTAATAACAAACGCGATCCAAAGATAATTAACTTAAATAAAATGGCTATACCCAAGAAAGCTTATTTGTTGTCTTTCTTTAGCAGGCATTATCACAGGATAATGAAACCAAAAATAATGTAAAGCACGTCGATCTTTATCATTGTTTTCTTGCAATTGTGTGAGTCATATGACCAATTATGTGAATTTCAAACTAAGTAAAGATGTTGAGAAGAATCCAGGACCTACTCAATACAACACTGATCATCATGAAGTAATAATTAGACCTTCTATGCAAAATCACAGCTCAACATTGGTTGAGGTCACACTAGAGACTTTACTATGGTAAAAAGGGCTTTACTATGGTAAGTCTCGCAACGTCTTCTTTACCGTAGTAAACCTGACAGGTCCACTTAAAAAGGCATTTGAAACTTTCCAGGCGTTTTTTCTCGCGTGATCGGTAACGTGAGAGTGAAAAGTAAAACAAATGATGACCTGCTATGAGAGCTGACTAAATTGAAATTACTGAACTGTAACTTCCTGAGCGTGACCCTCACAAGTGTACAAAGATGCTTCAATGTGAGAGAGTATTGTTTTCTGTTGTGAGCATTTTGCTTTTAATTCTGCTGCTCAGACGAGCAAGAAGAATGCGCTCCCTTATTACCTACCTTGGTTTCGAATACGAAGTTAGTGAAGATGTTTTAGTGACAGGTTTATTGATTACTCATCGAAGACGTATTCTTAGAGAAAGAGCGGCATTGCGAAGGCAAGCGTGGGTTTAACCTCGACCCCAGGAATGGTTTGAAGAAATGTACAGAAACAGAAACCTTCAAGCACTGTGGAAAAAGCAATCACCGATGTTCTAAAGCTATTCTGTTATGTGACCCTTTTTGAAACTACTTTCCTCAAAAATCATGACAAACTGTCAACAAAACAAACAAAGTTTAGATAGACTAGAGATATACCCACCTACCGTATTTATTCGATTAACCGCCCTGGGCGCTTATTAAATTTTTGGACCTTGAGAGTGGGCGCTTATTCGAGGTGGGCGCTTATTCGAGGCTGGGCGCTTATTAAATTTTCACCGTTTTCAGCAAGTGAAGTATGTTTATTTTGTAACAAAACAATAAATGCTAATAACAAAACGCGAAGAAGTAACAAAGCAAGGTTTCTGTAAAATACTCTGAAGAAGATTCCGTACACGGGGAAGTCTCTAATTAGAATTTATTCACTCAAGTGGGTGGGATGGGGTGAGCGCTTATTTGAGTTTGATTGGGAGGAGTAGGGGGTGGGCGCTTATTCGAGGGTGGGCGCTTATTAACTTTTTCTGCCTTTGGGATGGGCGCTTATTCAAGGTGGGCGCTAATTCGAGGTTGGGCGCTTATTCGAATAAATACGGTATTTTTTTTGGTAAGCAGATGGTTATCGGTGATGGGTCATCTTTGTTCTTTCCGCGGTAGTCATGGAAATTAACCAGGGTAGAGTTTACCATTGTAAACTGAAAAATGCCGGTCACACTTACGGCGCCGTTTACTATGGTAAACTTGAGTTTACTATAGTAAACTTTCTCTCGTGTGACCTCAACCAATGCAGTTGAACTCTCCTATTTCCTCTGAGAATTTGATGCAGTCAAGATTAGGTGCACTTTGTTTACAATCAATAGATGTTGGCGGTGCAGGTGATTGTTTCTTTAGATCTGTATCACATCAATTATATGGCAAAAGCAACCATCACATGCATATACGTACTGCTGGGGTTCAATTTATGAGAGACAATCCTGAGAGATTTATTGAGAGCAATACCGAAAATTCATGGATAAGATATCTGAATAATATGTGTATTCAAGGTACATGGGCTGATGCACTTATCATTCAAGCAGTTGCAGATATACTACTGTTTACCCAGTTCAGGAAAGAAATACTTCCTCTACAATAATTACTATAGGCCATATTGATGAATCCCATTATGTATCAACCACTGCCTTACAATCAAGTGCCTCCATTTCAATGTGCAATGAATAAACAAATGATACTCAGTCATCAATAAATAAGCATTTTATTATGTCTGTATATAACACTGGATGACATTTTTTACAGTGCAAGACAACAATCCATGACCACAAAGATCTATTTCAAAAATGTCTTATGTCTTTTATCATTTCAAATTCACAGTGTTTTCGCAAAAAATAGATAAATGTGATTAATAAATCTCAATGATAAACCTGATGATAACGTACTTGAGAAAATGTGAAATTGTGATAATTCTGTAACAAACTTCTTTGCAAACTTTGTCATTACCATTCAACCCAAAACTGTCAGTGATTTTTGCTTTTTCACTCAAACTTAAAAACAAATGAAAACCTTATACAGATCACACTTATTGACATCACAATGTTACTAAAAACACTACTATAACACAGACCGCTAGCTGTAATAACACTGAACAAACTTACAACAACATCCTCCTTTCTCATGCATTTTGTTGCTTTTCTTCTGCATGAGTTAATTCAGACTAAGTATTAGCCTCCACAGAGGAGGGGGGAGGGGTGCGAGAGGTAAACTATATCTATGCAATCCCGTATCCCACTGGGCCCCGGTAAGTTCCACGTAGTGGTTCTAGTTTAAGTACAATTTAATGTCCTTTGCTGGAGACGTATTGGGACCATATTTCAACGTCAGTTCTGAAATAGACACCGGTAGCAGTACGAGAGAAACTTTTAACTTTTAAGACTTTTAACCCAGTTGATCTTTTTTCACCATTAAAACATATAGCGGTGTTGTTTCCCCTATTGTAAATTACCTTACAAACCCTAAGTCATTCAGTTAAGCAGGGATATCAGTCTGGTGAGCGATCTTGCTCGATCGCTACATTTTTTGTGGGCATGTCTTGTAGTTAGCTTTTTTGATTCAGCATGACCCGTATGACGTAGTTTTCGACTTTGTTCTACTCGCTCACCCTATCACTTGCATACTGAATCACATCGCCACAAGATTGTTTCACATGGTAGGAAAAAGAAAGGTCCCCTCAACCCCTTATTCTTTGTAGAAACACTCTATGCGCTTTACAGTGTTTTCCAATCACACCAGTCTCTGTCGTTGTGAATGAGGGATTTCTTTTGGTAAACATGGATTTTCTCTATTTACATTTGTTTACAGTGCATCGCTTTACCGCTTAAGCCAACCCTGTTGCGACTTTTAAATTAGCAAAAACTTACTTGCTCCAAGGCTGCAATGTAGATAGAAAATCCAAAAATACTCTTCATTCCAATTTCTTTTTTAATTAGCTTACAAAGTTCTTTACAAGTTGTGGCAGGATCTACTTCCAATTTCTTAATTGAGCCATCCATAAATGTGACTGGTATGATGGGCTGGGATTGAGTTTTGACCGCCTGACAATCAAAAAGGATAAGCAATTGACTGACTATTAAACAGAAATACGTATCTCATGATAACAGCGCAGAATATTTCTAGCGGAGCTCCCGGCGCGCCAACGAACGATCTTTTTTTCATCGGACTACGGAATACGATATTAATTTACGTTACTGCTTTGGAACTGAGTACATCTAATTAACAACATATAAAGTAAAGTAATCCGGATCCCGGACAGATCCGGGAAATTTTTGCTTTTGGAATGTAGAATTTGGAAAATGTGTTTGTTGTGTACCCGAATCCGGAATTCAGAATCCCGCTAACGATTGGAATCCGGCATCCAAGTTCCACTGACAACGAATCCTGGATTCTAGTACCTGGAATCTGGAATTCACAGCGTGGAGCGGACGGTCTTAGATTACCTTTCATAGGGCCGGCGAAACATAGGGACAACATAATAACATTATAGCATTTTCAAACTCAAAACACGAAAAAATAAATTTCTTTCATGCCACTCAAAAAAATAGATAAATAACTGGCTTCCTCTTTAAGGGTTTTAGTCTTCCAACTGCCCTTATTTGACACTGACTTTGCTCGAGGAATCATCCCATGATTTTACGCAGCACTTTTCCCAACAAAAAGACAAATAAACAAACAAAAGATCTTTGAATCCTTAGGATATGACTTACACTTATAGGTTATTTATGAATCCAGTCCCAGTGCCTTTTATTTTTCTTTCGTAAAATTGTAATTGATCATGAATATAGAGAGACATACCTCAAGTTCCACTGCTGAAGGCGGTTGCCTTCGGCAATCGATTTGGAGAGTTCGTCGAAGAATTTTGTAGCAATATTCCCCAAAATCACCAGGACCCTGCTTCAAGAAGCTTCGTATGTAATTTAACAACTGCAGATTGAAGTCGATTATAGAGAAGAGATTAAATAACTGAGGATCTTACACTAAACATGAAATGTGGAAAAGGCAAGTAGAGAGCTAAGCTGAGGGAAAACTTGAGACAGAAATAAACTTTATTTATAAAGCTACGTGCAAACGGACGCAACAACTCCCAACATTGTTGGGCCAACAATGTTGGGACGGCTGTGTCCGCTTGAGCTCATTACCTCTTGCCAACAATGTTGCGCCCGTTTTCACGAGGCTTAAGCAGGTTACGCAAAATGTACAAGTGGAAAAAGCGGATAAATGAAGCAAAGGACTACTGGAAAAATTAAAAATTAAAGAAATTCGTATTAGCGAGAACAGGCCTTTAATTAATAATTTTAGCCTTGAAATTACCTTTCTTTCTTTTCTTAAAACCAACATAATTTTGATATCAAACGATCTCAGTCAAATAAATTATTATAAAAATAAAACAAAAGCCATAAACACGAGGGAAACTTGAGTGGTCTTGAGTAGAACTCATAGAAAACGGTATTTAGGGTGTTGTGATTTTTTTTTATCAATGGGCCTCCAAGAGAATCGAGAACAGTATTTCTCATCTGCCCAAGATCAGCAGTGGTATGGCATTACTTTTTTTAAGTGACAGGAGTGCTCTAATGATTGATTATTACATTCTAACCGAACCTCGTCTGATGGTGGAAAAACACCAATACAGAGAGCCAGTAAGATCCACCCTCTTGAGTAACTTGTTTGGGAAAGGTTGTTAATAAGCTGGCGGCATATTTGGCAATATATTTCATCCCTGTCAATCAAAAAAAAGGAAAAACGCCATTTAAGTATACGGATAAACGACGATACGTACGAGGCAATTAACAATTAACCGTGTTCTACTGTACTTTTGGCTGGTTTTTTTTGATCAGCCTGTTTCGTATCATTTCTCCAAGTGCATTATATGAAACTTTATTTGTAAGGTATATCGATACGACAGTAATATTAAAAAATATTTAGTCTGACTTATTTCCCTGAGCTTCTATTGCCATGATAATTCTTATAACTTGAATTTTAAGTAAATAAAAACAGTTTCGCATTTTGATTCTACTTAAAAGTGCAATAAATGCAATATACTATATGGTTATAGTTACCTTAAACTCGATCTTCGAATTCCAAAACTGGTAATGAACCAAATTTTCTCCAAGTTTGTTGTTGGTTGATTCATTAAGGACAGTGATGGAACATTATGTGACATCATAGAAGCCGACAAGTTGGCCTAAAACAATGTTAATTTAATAACAGCTGTAAAAAGCAGACGGCAGGACGCTAATTGTTTCTCCAGTTTCTTCGTAATAATCTAATATGCTTGTGCCAGAAAAACGAACAGAAATGGTTGAACTTAACTGATAAACCTTATTCTTCGGGTCCAAGCCAGCAGGAAGCCCAAAGGCCCATAGACCCCATAGTAGCCCCCAAGCGACAGACGATCATCGGTTGCTGGAACGTGTGGACCAGGCCCGTAACCAGGATTTTATTTGGGGGGGTGCTAACGAGGCCAAAGTGGACCAAACTACCGAAATGTATTTTTTATTGTCTGATCCGTTTATTTAGGGAAGTAGCAATACATGAGAAATTGTAACGGCAAAGTACATGGTAGGAACTGAATATTACAATTGTCGAATACAACTGTTTGAATTAAGTTATAGAGGAGTAATTTTACGATGTAAAATGATACATCAAAATACTGCGGAACTAATCCCTCAGAATAGTCCCGAGCTCCAGCCTCCGTGGGTGTTTGGTGGCAAACAGATTTACCACCTCATCCAAAACAATTTTAGCTTGATAATGTATGTGCATTAGTGCGAAGGACGACAGCCTTTCCTGGAACGGCTTGGAAACTAAAATTTCGAGGAAGTTTTTGGACTTTTTACATTCAGGGCATGAATTTTTCGTCATTTCAGGCCATGGAACCTAAAAATGAACCTAGCTAGCTGTAAAAAGGGGCAATACGGAGGAAATGCGTCCTAGCCGGCATGATCACATGCTGTTTACGGAAAATTCTCTCATCCATGTAAGGAAATTCTGTATTTTAAAGCCTCCCCTAGGGCATGACTCAGCAACTGAGGACATTTCTGCTACGTTTTCAATGTTGGTTAGCATGCAAGGATTTTTTCCATGCCTATCGTCAATGATTTGCTCACTGGTAATAGAGGGGGTGGCCCCAGAGTGGTTTTGCATTGAAATTGGCATGCAACAGAATTTCCCATGCCCTGTAAGTACAATTTGAGGTTCCGTGACCTTATCACCCAGGCCACGAGAAGCCTAGGTTCTAGTAATAAGTAATTCATACCCAACAAAATCTCCGGCATGCCGGGCATTCCACATTCTCTGACATGCCCGGCATGACAAATTCTCTAGCATGCCGGGCGTGCCATAATCTGGGTCATGCCGGGCATGCCAAAATAGGTCCCTGGCATGCTCTCAACGCACAGGTTATAATTCCTTGAATCTACAGATATTTTAAGCCTGGCTAAAAAAAAAAAAAACTAAACAGATCACCGTGCTTATCTTTTGATGTACGGTTACACGATGACGTCATTGCTCTTCCATTTGGTTGTCCCAGCGAGGTTTCAATAACAAAAGCTCTAATTTTCACAAGAAAGTAAAACCCTGAGGGATTCTGCCGTAGTAATAAAACAGCGTCATCGTGGAGATGACCTGTTGGGGGATTGTAAAAACTCCTCACCCCTTTTAATGAGTCTTTAATAGGATTCCCATTTCACATTGCGAATAAAATGGAATTGACTGAAATCAGTAAAAAGAGAGACAGACACTATTTTCATTGTATAATAAAATGCATCTATGTTCCATGAAAGCTTTTAAAAATACAAGGTTATAGAATATTTTTCAAAGTTCATTACAAACTGAGCTAAGCCCCAAAATCATTGTTCATTTTTCAGTAAATTATGATGTTTGACAATGCAATGTGCTTGAATATAACGTTGCAATTACATATCTCTCTAAAGCAAATTTCCCTACGTTAGAAAAGCTGTTTTTATCTTGTTTCACATTTTGATAAGGAGTCTGAGTTCCTCTTTCTTGTTTTGTAGGCTTGCCAGGGATTAATGTTTTTGTGTCATTACCAGCGTCTGTTTTCTCCGTTTTTAACTCAATGTAAGTCAGTAATAACTGACAGTATCAAAGAATTGCTCTCTAGAAAAGTAATTATCTCCTCGTCATGTCTGGAAGTTACCTGTAACAAAAAAGAAATGGAATGTTAACACATGCAAGGGCAATATGAGAAAAAAGAAAAAGAACATGTAGAGCTCAGCTTCTCTTAACATATTTTCATACTGGCTTGTTGAGTCTGTTAAAGGTCGCAACTGCTAATTGTCTGAGGCTAATTTCACAACAGTGTGCAATTGAGATAAATGCATGGTAAATAAAGTGAAAGAAACGTGGTTTCACATTAGCCAATTTACATTGCGTTGTTCGATGATGTTTACACGCTCTTCTACTGCGAAATAAACCTTTGCATTTGGATTTGCAAGTCAAGATTATACCGAGTTTGACTGGCTTAATTGAACAACAGTTTCATTTTTAAGCAGGTAAGGTGTAGACCCATATAAAGCCGAAATATGTAAAGGAAACTCAGCGAAAACTTTTTCGCATCTTTTTGTGGCGATATTCTCCCACGGCCCGTCAACTGATTAGGGGATGGGAAGAAAAAATAAATTAGGACCAAAGGTTAAAGCCTGTCCGTTTACACCATTTGGTATGTTACCTAGAGTTCTAATAAATAGGTCATAAAATAGGATTTAACGAGAGCGAATTTGTTTCTCAATCGGTGTATAAAAAAGTGAAGCTATCAAATGAGAAGTTTATAGAGTATCAAAATTATTAAAGTAAAAGCTCATATAATTAGGAAAATTCCTATACGAAAACAATGCTAGTGACATTAAATTGATCAGATAAAATTCTGAGAAAATATGTCGAATAAAAGCCTCATTGTTTGCTTTTGTTTTTGCGTAAAGGTAAATTTTTCGGTCCACAAAGCAAAGTTGAAAAAGCGACTAAATCTTAGTTTTTTACATTGAACATGTTTATTAGCTTAGTTTTCGTCCGTTTTAAACGCTTTATAACCCAGTCATAATTTTCGGGTTAAAATAGTACAAAATCATTTCAAAAACCATGTTCATTTAAAGTAGAGCCAGCAAACGTGAACATTTTGTCGGACCCAGCCAGGTTGTTTAAGCTTAGAATTATTTGCATTTTAGCGTCCTATAAATTTACCAGAATCGCCTCTCAGAGGCTTACTGTAGCAAAGCATTTTGTAGTAAACTCGTAGACAAGCAATGTAAGCCTTAAGTCTTTGCTTGGATGAGATGTCCAAAAGAAAAATTAGTTTTGTGGACCTAAACGCACATTCACAGACTGCTTATACTGAGTTGTTTACAACTTTGCATTGACACCTGCAGCATGTTCATTTTTATAAAGCGAAATCCAAATCTGATTTTGGCATTTGATTTACGGATATTTTATTTTGTCTCCAAAAGTGATTGTAGTATCCGTTTGATTGTCTTTCGAACAACAGTCAAACTATGCAGCAAAAATAAGTAACTTTACCAGTACAGTGAAAAAATATGACCGTAGGTGCCAAAAATAATTATACTCGAGCTATAAAATTAGATCTGACTTTTTTTAGCTTTGGTTTCTTTATTTTTGAGGTTTTCTCTAGTCTTCTTAGCAGCAGAAGAAGATTACAAGACATACAATCAGAAACAATCCGAAGTGAACGAGTTGACAACCACTTATGACACTTATGCCGGAGTTCTTAGGCATGCTCAACAGTATGATAAACTGAATGCCAAAAGACTAATTCACGGGATTTGTTCGATATTCAGGCTTTTTCTTTACCAAATTAATACTAAATTTGTACTTACAGTCTCTCGCAGAATCCATTTCTTGTCCAGCTTTCACCACCATCTCAACCATGCACCGCAGAAAAAAAAGACAAACAAATGCGAAGAGACATGACGACATCGTGACGCCACAACTGCCACGCTACAACAAACTAGATTCATCGTCATCCGAAAACACTTCTGCGGAAATTCGGCTGATTTCGTGCGTGCTCGGGGTATCTTCGGATGACGCAGATGACGTTGCTCAAAGGACTATCGTCAGCAAGGACTAAAACAGTTTGCGAGATTCGCATAGCCGACAAGAAGCGCACTGAAAAACTAAGCAAAATCTCTCTGAGAAGGCAGTCCAAATTCACCAGATCAGAACGTCTTTGCAGTATTAACGTCGTACTCTCGTACTGACTTGAACGACCTGGTAAGCTTAATTTTCACCAGTCTTTTATGCTGTTGACCAGGAAACATTCCGACGCGATAAAACTTATTAACTTAAGCATGAATAAGTTTATACTGAGAAGATTTGTTATCTTATTGTTTAAGACGCTTTTCCGGGATCAAATTTAAATATGGACCCAGAAATGTCAGTATCGGTTTGAAATAAAAGGATTAATCTTTGATTGCAAGTTAAGTATTCTATTTTATGCATGAATAATGTTGTTTTGTTGTGCTTTTTATTTATAAATCCAGGCTTCTGTCTTCGGTTTTGCCAGTCGATCCCGTGACACACATTGTGACAAACATGACTTTTTTTGTTATAATCTGCATTTATTGCCAGGCATGAAACCTGTCATTTCAAGCTCCCTAAGATATATTTGGCGATTATATGTGATTCTCAGGATATGATGCTGTAGCGAACATCAAAATCAGTCTCGCTGGGCATGCCAATTTCTTGCCTGGCATGCCGGGCATGCCAAACCAACTGGCTTCACGATCTGCATGCCCGGCATCGCCCGGCATGCCAAACCAGAGGAGCAAAAACTGGGAATGAATTATCAACCCGGCGAGAGATCTGGGAACTAAGTTTAGCTGGGTCAATTTTGGGCTGCGAGGGCATGAACCCATTTTTTCCATGCCTATGAGATGTTGTTTCTAAGTACCAATGTTCCCTTGAATTTTGTCATGCCTAAATATATAAAATTTTCCCTCTCTCATTAATCCTCAGACTGGATGCGATTTTTACGCTCGCTAAGCATGTTCAACTGAAAATCATGCCCATACCCTTATTCAAAACAAAATGCTATCAAATTTTAGTTTCCAAGCCGTTCTGGCCTATGCATGCCATGTTATATGTATGCAGCCGCCTTAAAGAACTCGCACTTCTTTAGCATTCACAGCTCATTGCAGGGATTGTGGCGCATATCTTGAGGAGCGCATATATATTTCGAAGGAGATCATCATCGCACTCCTTAAGCGTGCGCACGTTAATTTCATTATTCATTTAGATAAGTTCGGACATCTGTGCGCTCATTGAAATGTTCTGAATGACTCGGGCTACTAGAGTGCAGCTGATTTTATTTTCCCAGTGAATACACTACTGCTTTTTCCATTCTTGGATTTTGTTTAAATATCACTGTTAAGTTTGAAACTTCAGTTTAACCGACTGCACTCCTTAACTTGGATATTGAGTATCAAACTGCGGACCTTTGGGGCCTGTAGGGAGGGTGCGAACGCACCCCGTGCATCCCCCTGGTTACGTGCCTGTGGACCATGGCGGAGATAACACGGGCAAGGCAAGTAGCTAAGGCGATGAAAGAGTATGGGATTGAAGTGCTAGGGATAAGTGAGACCAGGTGGAAAGGGACGGCATAAGTAATACTGCAGAGTGGAGACAAGGTGGTGTATGTGGGAAATGATGAGGTACAACAGGGAGGAGTAGCCATGATGATGAGTGCTGGGCAAAAGGAGCTTCGATGGAATGGACACCAATTAGCAAAAGGATCATTCCAGCACAATTCTACTCAAAGTACAAAAAAATGTTGGTGGTACAAGCATATGCACCAACAAATGAGGCGATGGATGAGGAAAAGGATGAATTCTACAACCAGCTGCAGGACACTGTTTCAAGCTGCAACAGAAAAAATATACGATTGTGGTGATGGAAGATTTGAATGCTAAGGTAGGCAACAACAACACCAAGAGAGAGGAGGTTATGGGGAAGTTTGGCGTTGGTGTTATGAATGACAATGGAGGGAGGTTATATCAATGACGTCTGTAGTGCAAATGCGTTCATCATATCTTGAACAATCTTCCCTCATAAAGACATCCATAGGCTCACCTGGAGGCCACCAGATGGACCATGTTCTAGTGAATGGAACTATGAGAACATCTATATTAGACACCAGAGTAATGAGAGGAGCAGACGTATACAGTGACCATTACCTTGTGAAAACGAGGATACGTCTTAAGTTGGCAAGAGCTGAGGGGAGGAAGAACGTAAGGGAAAGGTTTGACGTAAGTAAACTGCAAAGTGAAGAGATGAGGAGGAGGTACAACATTGCGGTGAGGAATAGGTTTGAAGCTTTAGGAGACATAAATGATCCGGAGGAAGAACACGATACGATTTTGGCAACATACAGAGATGCAGCAAAGAAAGTCTTGGGGATGTCAAAGAAACTTTGTAGGGCATGGATAGGACGCAAAACATGACAAAAGATCAAGGAGAGGAAAGAGGCAAAATTGAAACTGGAGGGTGCAAGATCGGAACGACTGAAACAAAGATGGAGCGAGAAGTATAATGCGAAGAACAACGAAGTGAGACGGAGTGCAAGGGAGGATAAGAGAAATTGGTTATAGAGAAGAGGGCTGCAGAGCGGAAAAGGCCACTCAGAATGATAGGAGCAAGGAGCTATACAGCATTACTAAGTCGATAACTGGAGAAAGGCCGAACTAAGAAATAGGTGTTAAGGACAAACAAGCTGTGCTTTAATAGGACTGAAACAAGAGAAAGACTTCAGAGATGGTTGGAGCACTTAAGTGAAATATTTAACAGAGATGACCCAACGAATCCTGTGGAAGAGGATGAGATATAGTAGCATTGGAAGAGATTTAGGAAATGGATCTAGGAAGATGGCGATAACAAGAGGTCAAGGATGCGTTGAAGAGGACAAAGCCAGGGAAAGCGGCTAGAGTAGATGAGGAGTGTCCGTAATTGTTGAGAGCTGACATGGAAGACACTGCAAGTAGGCTGACTAGTTGTTACAACAGGCTTTGGGAAACTGAGAAGTGGCCAAAAGTGTGGAAGAAGGGAGCTTGTTGTTAAGGCATTCAAGAAAGGAGATTTGCGCGAGTGAGTGACTTTACTACCTGTCATTAGCAAGATATTCTTTAGGACGCTGTTGGAGCGGATCAAGAAGGCGTAGATAAGAAACGTCGAAAGGAGCAGGCTGGTTTTCGACCCAAGAGAAGTACAACTGAACATATATTTATACTTAGAAACATCTTAGAGCAGGCAAATGAGTGAAGGGCGGGTCTGTATGCACACTTTGTACACTCTGAAAAAGCCTTTGACTCTGTGCACAGAGAAAGCCTATTTAATATCATGAGAAGTTATGGGATAGCAGACAAGATGATGAGAGTGATAGCGGGCATATACGCGGGCTCTGGGTGCGCACTTGTGGACGGGAATGTGACATCTGACTGGTTTATGATCAAGTCTGGAGGAAAACAGGGGTGCTTGATGTCGGGATTCCGGTCCTACTCTATGGCTGGGGAAACTTGGAAGATCACCAAGAACGATGAACGGAAGCTAAATAGCTTCCAGTGCTAGTGCCTGAGACAGATACTGCGGATTAAATGGTAGCAGACAATAGGGCCATTTATACGAGGAAAAATAAGACGCGTCTTAAATAAGAGGCGAACTTTCCGTATAAACGGCACATTTCGTCTAAAGTAAGACGCGGCTTAGCTAAGACGCGTCTTATTAGATATGACATGCTCGTATAAATGGTACAGTTCGCGTCTTATTTTTCCTCGTATAAATGGCCCTAATGACAAACGAGAGAGTGGTTAGTTAGATCAATGACAAGCTGCGAAGTGCGACGAAGTAGGTGGAACTGGCTAGGTCACATACTGAGGAGAGAAGGTGAGAACGACTGCTTTACAGCATTAGGCTGGACTTCCGGAAGGTCGGAGGGCAAGAGGAAGACCAAAAACTACTTGGAGAAGGACAGTCGAGAAAGAACGAAACAAAGCTGGGTGGAAGACCTGGGAAGTAGCCAAAGTGGTCGCACAAGACAGAAAGTGTTGGTCAGACAGTGTGGAGGCCTTATGCGATGAGACTTGATGATGATGATGATACACCTTATTTTAAAGCTTCCGCAAATTTTGCTGTTCTTTTGTCTTAACGTAATTGGCTTAAGGCGCCTCGTTTGAAGATAAACTTTCTTTTGAATTCTAAGGTGCAATCCGAGGCAACGGGTCTAACTAAGATAAACATAAAAGAACGCACTGTCGTCATTTTGGAATAAGGTGTGGTCTATTGACCTACAATAGACCTACAATAGTTTGTACACAGGCTAGGGTTTTACTTTACTTTAATACTATTGTTTTTATTTTTATACTACCTTTTCAGAGATAATCTTCCTCTTGAAAGTGGAACCAGAAGAATATGCTTTCATGTTCGATATGTTCATCTCACTTTCTCCTGAATTCTGTTAAAGGATAAATTAGATACTGTTTTATTACTCACACATTTAAATCGTATCGCGATTATATGCAACCTGCACCTCAGAAAATGAAATTAAGGAAACACCCAATGGGTTCCAACTCTGTTTTTGCCATATCATCCTACTTATTTACCTCCAACTTTAGGCTCTGATCTCCAAAACCGTTTGGTCGCCAACTTTGTAATGTTGCAAAACATTGACGAAAAACACGATGTTCTTATCCAAATATATCTTCGACAAGCTCTTCATACGTCATAGAATTTGTTAATCTAAACGGTTTTTGGGCGCCTACTCCAGTTTTTCAGGTTTTTTGGATTGACATCTCTGTCTGCGTCAGTAAGCTAATCAGACCGCCATTATTGTGTTATGCTTCCATAGCTTGTCTGAGTTCCTTATAGCACAAGATCATTTCACTAAGATTATTCTAATTGCTTCTAACCAAAGAGTTTAGCGTACTCAAGCTTTCGGATAACTTGTGGAAAGCTTTTTCTTAAAATTAATGAGGCACCTAGCAGCTCTATATAAGAGCTGCTAAAGAGGTGTTCAATGAAGTAAGAGTTTTTAAAATGGTGCGAGGCTACTGGAATCTGACATCAAATCATGAGTGAAATGTGACCTGATTTGCTTCTTCGATGACTTTTGGTTCTGGCATGTCCCGCATGAATCTCAATATAGCGACGGAAATAGCACATGAAGCCTAAAATGAGACGAAATGAAAATAAAGTAAAGATTCTGGAAAAAATAATCCTCGGAGACCCAACGGCAGTATACCAGTAGGGTCGAGACAAATGACGGCGCGTGAAAGCACGGGAGGAGGAGCCCTAATCCACGTCCGCTCGTGCTTGAAAACGTTTTGTTCCGACCCGACCGACTACCCCTGGATCTCCAGGAAGGAGTAATAGATAAGATTTTAACAAAACATAAGATAGGAACCGTTTCCATCTTTAAGCGTGCAAAGATCAACCCATATGTCACAAAAACTGCCGCTGATTCCGATTCTAAAACGAACTATGTTTGCTTGGTGAAGGCGTGCTTCCTTTGATATTTTACAGGTTGTGTGGTTGATTATTAAATTATATTTATCACTGACATGATACTGAAAGCAAGAAATCTTACCATTCGATCATCGTCGTTGTCACAGCTCAGTAAAGGTGCTGACAGAGGCGCTCTTGCAAACTTGCAGGCTTCTCCATTTTGAAATTTAGTCTCAGCAAAATTTAGGAAATCAAACTTAGACAGATCCTCAGGCTCTGACACGCTTCTCTTTATAAAAGATAGAAAAAAGAACCAAAAGTTTGTCAACGTTGTTCAAAATCAGTAAACGACACTTGTTACTATTACGTAGTACCCTGAAATCCACCAAATCTAAATCTAGTGAAAGGCCTTGCTCTCCATGAGTCGAGAGTCTTCCTTAGCTAAGTAGATAGAACGCATCCTCGTAGCTTTGGAAATCCTATCAGAGACTTTTTGTGTCTCGAGCTCATGACATGGGCTTAAGGTGGCTGAACACAGTTTTGGCCGTTTCTGAGTATATGTCATTTGCCAAATTATGGCAAGAGAAGGGTTGCAGCTCACAAGCTGAAACTTGACAAGTGGAAAATATATTGATGAAAGATTTTGATTGACAGGTAAAGTTTGACATTTTCGTAGTTTCCATGGCAACATGAACGATTGAATACAACCTTAAAATTTCACTTTTGCTCAGTTTACAGAAAATTCACTCATTAGATTTTCCTATAACCTTGCACACAGCTTACTGTAATTAATCACTACCATTTGAAACTTATTTGACCAAATTTTAACAGAGGGGTTTTCAGATAATCAAGAATATAATTGTACTGTAATTATTAAATGTGTCACAAAAATCGTGTGTTCAAATTCCATTTTAAAGTTCTCATTATTTAAAATACGATAAAAGTATAAATTCTGCCAAATATCACAAAATTTTAATGAGTAGATTTTGAGAAATCGTCTTCTGTGTACCATTGGTTTTTCGCTGCCATGTTTGTTTGTCTAAGTTAAAACACTCGCCGTCACGCGAGTCACCGCTGACCGCCTGCAAAACTGTGTTCAGCCACCTTAAATATCTACCATTCTCCTTTATTATTTCACCAAAATTATCGGGGTTTTGAAAGAAAAAAAAAACGATGTGATTGATCTAGATCTGTGCTGTTCTGATCTATAGTGCTATGCTATGGCGAGACCAAAACAAAACTTTATGCCTGGACTATTGCAAGTAATTCTTCACTGTTTGCCGTAACCCAGGAATTTCTGCCGATCGATTAGCTTTGTGTAATTTGTTTTTCTTCTTCTAACGCGAGTCTGAACTTATGTCATATTTTTGATAGCGAAGGTACCAGCCGGTTCTTCTATTTGTATATTGAACAACCGTAATCAGTGATCACAATTGGCGCAAATTATTGTACTGTGATTAGTTCAAAGGTGTCATAGTTAGATATCTTAAGGAAAAATGTACACCACGTTTTTTGTATACGTTTGGTAAATAGGACTTTCGATTTGCCCCTTATGGAACTTTATTGACTCTAACCAGAATGATTTTTTCAATGCGACGATTCTCTTTTCAGTTGAGTAAGTCGTTAGGAAATACGCTTTCGATTATTAAAGCTCTAAGACGTGAAAAAAAAGTATTGATAAACTTTCTTTGAAACTTTTGCAAAACATGATTATGAAAAGGATGGAATATTTGAATGCGGGGTTTTAATGTTGTTCTGGACATAGGAAAATGCATGCCACAATTTAAAATTCTTGTCCTCTAAAGGAATCAAGCAAATAACATTTCAGTTTGCGCTTTCTCACTTTCATTAAATTGAAAGCCTTCTCTAACCTTCTAACTTTATAACCCTATAAAGGCCTCTTATATGCACACAATATGAATACGGCCTATTCATGTGACTCCGCATGAATAGACCCATTCTGACCAGCATTGTCCATCTGCCTTATAAAGCAATAATCAGTGTCAAAGAGAATTGCGAAATCCCCTTTTCATCAGCTGTACTAACAGCGTGGGAAAATGACTCGAATTTGCCAAAAAACGCTTTTTAATGTCTCATAGTAACATATAGAGACGGAGACAATCAAAAAGGCAAGAAACATCTAACAAATTTATTTATAAAAATTATTTCATGAAAAAACCTTATAAAACAAAATAAAAATAATGTAGATTCTCTTTTTAAAATGTTAAAAACCACCACGTGAAAGCGATTATTAACCTTTGCTCTTCTTGTTCTCTCCAGAATTTCGAACCTTTCAGGCATATTTAGAATATTGCCAAAAATGACTGTCGGTTAGTTAAAATGCTACGATCAAGGGAGAGGAAGTCTGCCCTTATGAGGATAAAGTTTCTTCTCTGTTGGCAACCTTTTTTGCACGTCTTTGTTCGCCATCTATTTTTATGCAAATAAAGACAGGATTTACTATAAATATAAACAAATAAATTATTTCAGAAAATGGTTATTCGTTAAGTTGATGGCGATTGTTTATCGCCCCAAAACACTTAGGGTTCGCAGCAACAACACCATGTATTAATGAAAGCCTGTTATATACTAACATAACCTCTTTGGGCTGGTTAATTTTGATTTCAACCAGGCAAAAGAGAGCAAAATTGACTCTCACATCTATGTACACTGTTTGCTGTTAACAGCATCAGAATAGCCAGACTAGAACCACGTTTGTGTACTTTAAGTAACAACTTACAGAATTAGATCTGAGTGTCTTTAACCGAGGTCTATATAAGTTAGACTATATTTAAATAACATTCTACATGACATTTACTTTTACTTATATTCGTTGTCAGTCTATATACATGTATACGTTTATAGATATACATTGTATTTAGGTAAGGTACATATCAAGCATAATAAACATGTTTAAATCGAATCTATTTAGGATGGCATACCCGCGTTTGCAGTTCCATGGACATTGTCTCTCTCCCGTTTTGAAGCGCTTATCTTTTGGCGAGAATACTGAAATTTCAAGAAGGTAAAGAATTCCAAATTTCTATATTTGCATTGCACAAAATCAGACATCTCAACAGGGAGGTATTAAACATCAACATGTCATCTACAACTTCCAATTCACAAAAGTTTAAGCCCACAAAATATTATATTTGCGGGCCAAACTAAATAATATACCTTATCTTTTAGCAACTGAGATTTAGTTCAGGTTTTAGTAGTCACATGATCTGTAAGCTCAAGTCTTGATCCAGTTAAAACGTCCCTTATTCCTTATCCTACTGTTAAATTTGAATATTCTTTGATTTCAACCATGAAGTTGGTCAGTTAAGTTCGTAATTATTGCATCTGAACGAAGGAAGCGATTCATAATGATGTCGGTAAAAGGTTCACTTTTCATTCCGGCGGAATAAAAATATATACACCCTTAGCAGACATTTCTCTTTCTCGACAGATGCCGAAGATTGACGTACAACGGTTGATTCTTGACTGTCAAGGGTGAAAAACATACTTACCTGCGGGTGTAAGGATGTTAAGTTTAAGCCAGGTTTATCACATAGGCGATTTTGGTCTTAGGCGATGGTGTAAACGGTAAACCTGTCGCGACGACAATAATCATCTAAGTTTCATGAAACAGATCACGAAAGCCGAGCGTATCATTTATGTGGTCCAGCAATCATGCAGAACCTTTCATTTTTAACTGCAACAATAGTGGATGATAATTAGTCATTGTAAACCAAAAATTCCTTAAAGCCAACAACAATTGCTCAATGTAGCAAAAATATGCTACGTTATCCTTGCCCCGACATATCCCACCCGGACCACAAAAAGGAAACTGTATTTTGACTTTACAACCGGATGTACTGTATATTGCTTACTTATACCCTCGTTGCTACAAAGAGAGAAATCTTGCATTACGAAGATCGTCCTAAAAAGTGGATTCAGTAACACAAGGAATTAAAATACTCTTACAAACAACGCATTAAGACTCAAATAAGTTTTGACTGTAGCCTTTTTTTGAATTTACAGGCTTTTCAGTGCATAAAAAGAGGCTAGAAAAGCGAACTTCTTCAACGAATGGATAGGATGCGTGTTCTGCAAGGTCCTCTACAGATTATATACAAAAACATTTTGATTTTGTTCGTTATTTTCGCCCGTATTCCTTTCGTTCTTTATTTATCATTTTTTGTATATTTCTCCCCTTATACTCCCTTACTACCTTCCAGAATTTACCTATTTTTCTTTATTTCTTTAACCCATTCACAGTTGAACTGCCTATGCTGATTCATGTTCCCTGTACCGCTTGTGGGGTCATCAGTTAACGCTCATAAACATTTAAATTGAAATTTAACTTGTGAAGGGAAAAGCCATATCCGAATGAGCACGAAACTGTTCCCAAGTATACATTAATTTGATTGCCTGTTGTGGGGACATTGCACTTTTTCGGACAGTTCCGTGTTTAGCTTGAAGTCCTCGCCTTGGCCCAAATACACCAAATACGAAACTATTTTCCCCCCAAAAATAATGTTCTACCATCAAACTTTTTTCCTTCTTCAAATATGTTCTTTATTATACTGTTCTTAGAGATCAAGCTCGTTTTCTGATGTTTTTACGTGTTTGATATCGGCACACAGAAATTCAAACTTGAAAAGAATACATTAAATACCAAGGAATGAGGTAAGTCAAGATTTGATGAGGTATGAATCTTTATTTTGGACTATTTTGTAGCACCGGAGTTCTGTTTAATTCCAGTGAGCTAGAGTTCGATCTTTTTGCTTTTGCACAATAATGCTTGACAAAGAAACTTGAAGAACAGACTATTGATTCCTATTCTTTATATGTTCGCTTGTTTGGTTTCTATACACAGCAAAACGTGAATTCAGTAGTAAACTTCGTGTTTACATCAAGACTGGTCTCCCTCGCGTGGTTCTGGTGCTACGATGGGTCTTATTTTTCCAGAAATATTCGTCTCTCCACTCTCGGAGTTTGAACAACATATGTACAGTAGCGATCCCAGGCCAGATACTAGCTCGTTAATGCAGTTGGAGAGCCGTAGAGCTGTTCCACAGGCTTCACAGCTCCCATAATTCAAAGCCTCAGCCAGGACATTTTAATAGGGACTTTAAGATCCAACGGCGCGACTGCGAC